TCAACATAATCATTGCCGTATTTCGTCATCATCATCATCGCCGTCACCACCATCATCTCTATCAACATCCTTATGAGAAAATGGTGGCAGATGGGTTAAAAGCTAAGCGTCTGAATAGAAGCATACTAATCACATGCTATGTCGTATGGCAAAAATGGTCTTGAAACCCGAGGCTCTAATTGTGGAGGACCTTTCCCAACACGAGCGAGCAGGTCTTTGCTCTCATACTCACCATCGCCACTGGCTGTGATTTCAAATCTTCCCTACAGGAAAATCTAACACTGTCAGCAGCACTGTCAATACACCCCCCCCCCCCCCCCACCTCACCCCATCATTACATGTAACAATATGGCTAGAGCGCTGGCTTCAATCGATTTTTATTGTGGGGGGTGTCTTTTCAAACAGCGCACCGTTAAAATGCGTACAGACATTTGGCACAGTGAAAAGATAGCTCGGACATGGAGACGAAATGACGGAACTTTAAAAGATACGGTTTAGAAAATCGAGTTTGTACTTTCAGGATTACGGTTTCAAGTTTATTCCAGTGCTTTCCTTCAATGTCAGAGTGCATCTACCTGAGAGGCAAGGAACCAGCAGTCTGCATACAAATGAGTCAGATCTGTAAAACAGATGCACATGCAACACTCAGGTTCTGGAACAGGACGGCAGTCCAAAAGTGGATGAACAACCAGAGCTTTCCGCCAGAGTTTACAGAGTTTAAAGCTGATGAATGTGAAGAAGAAGACGAGTATTCCAGTGTTCTTCAACTATTTCACACATGGGGACCAGGAAATTATGAGTAAAAACTCACTTTAACGAATGAAACAAAAACCAGTGGCGAGGCAGATCAGCTGTGTAAGCGGTTTAGACAAAATTAAGCGTTCCCAAGTAACAATAAACATTGGAGACTGTATCGCGTGATAATTTCCTTCTCGTGCCTTTGCTGTTGAGAATATGCGTGCGCAGCTGGCATAGTCGTATTAGTAACTGAGAGCTCTCACATGTTACAGTTTCTTCAAGAGTGACCTAAGCGTCCAGCGAGCGTTCTTTCGTTATGGCACTAATATGAGATATAAACCGAGTGGCGCATTTTAATGAATAGTGAACAATAATAATAAAAAGTAAAATAATGCCTTTTTCTTTTGTAATTTAAGGTTTGAGCCGCGGTAACAGCCATTATATGTCACGCCTTGCTACTGAACAACAAACTAAAACATATATAGCTATTTATTTGTCAAACTCAATGTTATAAAACTATCACGTTTATAGATGCTACATCTGTTGTTTACAGGCTATACTATCTGATTATGTGACTGGAGTGTTGTTTCTGAAGGATGATGTTCAGCAATTTCATTTGAAGTCGGAAGGCAGCTGCCTTAGAGGCAAGCAACACACAGGCTGCATATAAAGAAATGGATGTGTAGGCAAATATCAAGTAAAAACACCAACCCTCAGAAGTGATCGAACACCTATATCTTTCGCTGGAGTTGACAGTCAATGAACGTTAAAAAGTGCAAGATCAAGAATTTTGCATGGTAATATTTTTTGTCTCAAATTTTGTGTGTGATTCGTCTTTATTTTATGAGAATGCATATGTAAATTAAATATGTTCCTATCTATGTTGGGGGCGGCTGGTGGAACCGTTAGAACGTTATTCTCTTAAGCGGGAGATCAAAGTTCGAATCCTCGGTAAGATTAAGGATTTTCTCCTGTTAGGGGCAAAAATAGGTGCTTTAATAATATCTTACCCCAAACAGGGAAAATCCGCAGGTCATGGAACAGTCTAATATTTCAGGGGGTATTAGATAAGTTGCATGTAGTCGTGGGACAGGATGCACTCTCTCTTGGAACGTAGGTGGGTTGGGGTTAGGGCCAGTTCTATATGTTTTGGGGGCAGTTAAAAGCAACAGAATGCGGGAAAACCCGGTCTTCCAACCCTCTAAAATGTTGGACTGTCCTGTCACGCCATCTGGGGGTAGGATATTAATAAAGCACCCAAAAAAAAAAAATCATAACCTGCTCAGTCAGTGGCGACAGCACTAGCCAGGCAGTCTCAAAACTGCAGGCTCAAAGATCCCTCTGCGTATTTGCGTATCCCTTTTAAGACGTTGCAGAACCAACCCCAGCAGCCCCCTGGCTGCTGTGTTGTTTCTCTAGGCAAATTTACGTCCAGTACTTTGCCATTGCCTCTGGACGGTCGGCTTTCTTGATACCACTGTCGAAACCAATGCAAGGCGCATTGCCCGCAACTGGGATCGAACCCGGCATCCCGGCATTTCGAAGCGAAGCGTTCGCATCGACTTAGCCACAATGCCGACACATGGGGATATAAGTATTTTAAAATACTGTGTATGTGTGCGTATATATATATATATAAGCCTTGCATAAGTGCGCAATATAAATATATATATATATATATATATATATATATATATATATATATATATATATATATATATATATATATATATTGCGCACTTATGCAAGGCTTATAGTTGCCGTGAAGTGGCTAGACACCCAACGGAATGTCGTTGGTTCGGGTCCTGAGGGAGCTGGACTTTTATTCAGAAATGACATTGGCTCCCAGGTCGACCCAGCGTTAAGCCGGTACCAAGTACAAGCCCTGGGAAGTAAAGGCGGCCGGTGTGATGCTGACCACATCATCCACCAAGTGCCGATTTGTCTACAAAATATAGGTCTAGCCCTATATGCCAAGTAAGCAAGAAGGCGTGACAAAAAATGTCGGTTATTTTACTGTGACACAAGGTTGTGACTCTTCTATTTTCAGAGTTACCTTTGAAACTGGCGATGTTGCAAACGATAAAACTGAAGATATCCCAGAAAGGACTGTGGCGAGTATGTGTTTGTCTGTGGTCATTCGCCCTGGCCTGTCTGGTTTACACAGCAAGCAGTCATGTGCAGTATTTACACATGTAAGAATCACCCCTGTCATCGTCATTGTCATTATCACTGTTCTTATCACTGTCATCATCAATGTCATCATCACTGTCATTATCACTGTCATCGTCACTGTCATCATCACTGTCATCCTCACTGTCATCATCACTGTCATTATCACTGTCATCATCACTGTCATCATCACTGTCATTATCACTGTCATCATCACTGTCATCATCACTGTCATCATCATTATCTTATTTTTCCTATTCGGCATTTCAAGTGCTTGAGGTTCACTAAAGCAGATGTCACCTGCCTCCTTTGTGATTGATCTTCTCTTTCCAGTTGGCGACTTCAAGTGTGTGTTCCTCTGCCTGGATGGTGTAGGGAACTAATGTAACAACTGAATGGTACAGGGAACTATTGTAACATCTGGGTGGAGGGAGTCGGCAGAACAATTGAACACAGGGCGTTCAAAACAATTCGAACAAAGGAATTATTGTACCTCCCCATTGTGGATGTGTGGCGCCTATGTGGGGCTCCGATGTCTGGCGCCCATGTCTGGCCCCGATGTGTGGCGCCCATGTATGGCCCCGATGTGTGACGCCTATGTGGGTCCCGATGTGTGGCGCCTATGTGGGGCCCTCATGTGTGGCGCCTATGTGGGCCCCCGATGTGTAGCGCCCATGTGGGTCCCGATGTGTGGCGAATATGTGGGGCCCCGATGTGTGGCGCCCATGTATGGCCCCGATGTGTGGCGCCTATGTATGGCCCCGATGTGTGTCGCCCATGTATGGCCCCCGATGTGTGGCGCCTATGTGGGGCCCCGATGTGTGGCGCCTATGTGGGGAGAAAACCAGAAAAAACCCAGTGCCTCCCAGCGGGCATGTCGTAGGAGTTGACTAATTTGGGGCATCCCTCGAAGTTGGAGTGCATCTGCCAGGGAGGCAAGGAAGCAAGAGTGCATACATGTAAGCCAGAAGAGTTAAACAGATGTGCACGCAACACTCAGGTTATGGGAAAAGACTAAAGTTCGGAGGTGTACGAACAATCAGAGCTTTACAACCACTGAAGGCGAAAAAGAGAAGTAGGATGAGGAAGACGAAGAAAAAGAAGAAGAAGAAAAAGAAGAAGAAAAAGAAGAAAAAGGAGAAGAAGAAGATGAAAAAGAAGAAGAAGAAGAAGAAGAAGAAGAAGAAGAAGAAGAAGAAGAAGAAGAAGAAGAAGAAGAAGAAGAAGAAGAAGAAGAAGAAGAAGAAGAAGAAGAAGAAGAAGAAGAAGAAGAAGAAGAAGAAGAAGAAGAAGAAGAAGAAGAAGAAGAAGCAAAAGAAGAAGAAGAAGAAGAAGAAGAAGAAGAAGAAGAAGAAGAAGAAGAAGAAGAAGAAGAAGAAGAAGAAGAAGAAGAAGAAGAAGAAAAAGAAAAAGAAGAAGAAGAAGAAGAAGAAGAGTTTATGTAACAACTAGGTAAAATGAGTTAAAGTAACAACTGAATACAGAGCATTAAAATAACTGGGCAGAAGGACTTTATGTAACAAAGCTGACAAGAAGGAGTTGGGGGAGTGGGGGGGGGGGGGGGGGAGATCACATAGAGAATGGAACGATAGTATCAAGAACAAACTTGAGGAAAATGAAGACCAATTTTGTAGACAAGGCATTTGGAAGAGAACACAAAATATACTTACAATGTAAGTTGTTTCTACCCCAACACCATATTGTTCAGGATCCTTGCCGATGCATCCCAGTTCGAGCACTGTGATGAGATTTTTCAACCTTAGGCTGCAGTTAGAAGAAGAACGGAGCACTTGTAGGTTACACCCGCGTGCCATGATGTTGATCCGCCGAATTAAACATAAATATAGCGTATGTAATGTGTTGTTTGAGGGAGAGAAAAAAAAAAAAAGGGGGGGGGGCAGGGCGCTGGTTGAAATAACAATTGGGTACATGTAAAGAATGTAAAAAAAAAAAAATGAACGCAAAAAAGATTTGCGTTGTGCCGATTGATTTACATTTCAAGACACTTATTTTTCAGGGTCAGCGAAAAGCATTCTGAGAACCACACGAAAATATGGTTTGACAGTACCCTTGACCAGCCAAAGGATCACATGAGAGGGATTCTCAAATTAATGTCCCGCGACACCGACAGTAACAATCGATCTACAAAAGGGACAGTGACCACGAACGCGCGCTATCTGACAAGGCAGCCTCTATTTCTGACACTGCAGGGCTTGCACTACGGCAGGCTGGGGAATCAGATGTTTATGTATGCCTCTCTTCTAGGGATTGCTCACACCTTGAATAGGACTGCCTTCATCAGCCCGGGGTTTTCTTTGGATGTCGCCTTCAAACTTGGACACGTGGCTGAGATTCCAGAATCTGAAACGTAATTTGTTGTTGGTATTTCTGTTGTTTTGTTTAGTATGGATAGTAAACTTGTAGATAACGTGGAATGTTTAATGCTTTTAATGAGAGTCAATTGGAAAAGGGGGAAGGGAAAGAGAAGGGGGGGGGGGGTTATATTCTATTGGGATAAAGCAAGAGTTACCTTAAGTTGATTCAAAAACCGACATCACAGCCCTCGTGGCATTTCCACAAGCGCCCTGTCCCCATCTTCAGCAGCCAGCCAGAACCCCTTGTCACTACTTGCGTCATTTCCCCCAGACTGTGTTGATCTATCTGCTCCTCCGAATTGTACACGCTTTCCCACAAGGCACTAACCACGTCTGCCTTAACATGCATGAATATTCTAGCAAGTTGTGCAGAGCCAGCCAGTCTGTCTGTCTGTTCATTTCATAGCACACCGGCATGCTTCCCACCCTACACCACCACAGCGAAGCTTGCCACTCTGCATGAAGCATACCTGTCCTCGACTTTCTCAGCATGTTTTCTGAGTCGATTACAATCACTATGTGTGTGTGTGTCGTGTTCTCTAACTAACGGAACGCTGCAGTGACCACCCCCCTCCTCCTACCTCCTGGCGATGGGATAAAGTAGAAGAAAAAGAAGAAGAAGAAACGGAGAAGGATAAAGCGAAGGAAAAAAAAAAAACGATTGTTTCACTTGTCGCGTGCCCATTCATTATCATCATGTAGCAGGGGCTTTGCAGAACGTCGCTCTCATCACAGTCTGACTGAAAGAAACTCGGTCTTTCGCCAGCTCTCCCGCCTCATGTACTTTCACACTCAAGGTGTCACTTATATCCTGTGCCCATCTTCGTGTCGGTCGGCCCCTGCCCCTCCTTCCTGGTACCATGCCTTCTGCTATAATTTTTTCCAATCCGTCGTGTCGCTTGATATGAACAAAATATTTCAGCTTTCGAGAAAGGATGCTGTTTATTAGCCAATCTTCCGTGATGTTCAGATCTTTTAAGATGTCAATATTTCTTATCTTTTTTGTCCAAGATATTCTGAGAATCTTTTGATAGCATTTCAGCTCAAAAGCCCCTATTCTCTTTCTCAAGGACTGAGAGATAGTCCACGACTCACATCTGTATGTAGCCACAGGGAAGATGCATGCTCTCAAAATTCTAATTTTTATCTCCTTGCTGGTGCTTAACCATAGACTTTTAAGGCTGTTCAATCTTTGCATTGCTATGGCCATCCTCCTATTAATTTCTGTCGAACAGTCTCCATTGTTGTTTATTATAGAGCCTAAATATTCAAAGTTTGTGACATTTTTAATTTCTTCATCATTGTTTTTTTTTTTCTTGGTGACAGCCAGTTTTATATATGGACATTATTTTCGTTTTCTTTAAATTCAAGAACAGATTTTGATCTTCATTAGTCGTTAGCGCGCCCATTAGTCTACATAAATATGAGTCTCGCAACATATGTCACATACCACACTGTCGTCATCATGTCGTTTACTTGCTTTACATAAAGCTTTATATGCAACAGGGCTACGTTTATGCCTGTCATCATCATCATCATCACCATCAACATCATTATCATCTCCCCACGCCCCGCCTATGTACACACTAGGTCACTTCTGACTGGTAGTTCCAGAGCACAGTGACTTTCGCACAAGGTCAGAGGGGTGTTGCGTGATAGCTTTGATATCGCGTGTTGTATATTTCAGCACGCTAGTGCTTTTAACCTCCAAAAACATGGAGCAACTGGCCCTAACACAACCCCTTTAGAGAGTGCTGCAACCTATGTCACAGGCATTTTCTTTCTCGGAATGAAAACGTAAATGCAAGACAACGCAGAAAGCAAACAAAAAAGCGGAATCTCCCGTAACATTTAGGAAAGTCCACCAGCCCAACAAACGTGTGAATGAAAAGTGACCTACTTTGTTTGGGGAAACTAACGTGAAGCTAACCATAAAATGAAATACACAACTAAGTTTTTAAAAACTAAACAATTTAGAGTTTCATGTGTTGTTTTGACTGCCGAGAGTGTTACACAAAGTACAACCTCCTTAGCTCCGCCGACGATCCCTATAGATCTCAGCAAAAATTGCACCAGTGAACTGAACGACGTAGCCATGAAACGAACCCAGGTCTTTCAGGGCGCGGGGCAAACGGCTCGACCACTTCGCTACGGGGACCTTTTAAAGTTCTAACTCGTAAATCTATCATACAACAACCAATCAATTATTATTATT